GACAATTTCTCGCTATCAATAGGTGTATTCATGGGTAGGTGTGTATCGACATTGTATTGCTGTAGTTTTGCCTTCTGTGTAGGTTCACTGCACTTGCGATAGTTCACCGCTGGTTTGCAAGTTTGGAACCACTGTGTTGTACAGTCATAAGGCGGGACACATGTCGAATTTGTGTTTGAATTCCATCTGAAGACATGGTCCATATTCTATATCAGATATGAAGACGTGATTCAAAGTCAACCCCCTAAGGGTGATCGAAATAATATGCACGAATCAGAATTACCCCTTATTAAACAAGAAATGCCTTCAGAATGTACTCCAGAACTTATGTATTTATTAAATGTCTTGTCTCCCGTCCTAAAGGCATTGATATTTTCTCACCGTCAAATAGTGTGTATTTCGGATTCCAAATGATTCTTTATTTGAACTTCGGGCGCACGCGGGGAAGCTCACTGCGAAGAACCGTGTACAATGGGTTTCACGCGGATAAAGAGGCACAGGAAAGAAAATCCAGCGCAGATGCAGCCGAGATATAGCATCGCCTCGGTTCGATCTGGAATTCCTCTGAATAAGAATCCCCAGCAAATGGCACCGAAGTTCCCTCCAGCACCCACTACACCGGCGATCGTACCAGTATACTTGGGCATAACGTAGGGTACAATGGCAAAGGTGGCTCCTTCTGCGGATTGTACAAAAATGGAGAAGACGACTAGAACAACCGTCGCAAATGGAATACTTCTGATAAACGAAAAACAGACCAGCACGGTGCCAGCACATAAGACGGTAATGAAGAGAACCCCGATGCGTCCTTTCATTCCCACACGCGCCATTGCTTTGTCAGACACCCACCCTCCCAAAGCCCGAGCAAACAGATTCATCAAGCCGAACAAAGATGCTATCATTCCGGAGGTGCTTTGTGTCAGCAAAGCACATTCGTCCTCATACGTCTCCACGCAATCTTCCTTTTTAAAATCTTCGTAAAAGTATGAGCCAATGACGTTGTTGACAGTCAGTTCTACCCCAAACGAGCACGCGTACTGCAAAAGCAAAATGTACGTTGTGGGATTTGAAAGCGCTATTTTTAACAGAGCTCCGCCACCGAGTGGAACCTCTTCAAGCGCGCCTCCTAAGGTGGTTCCATCGCCATCAGCTGCATTATCATCAGGTTCACATTCGACATCGTCGTCCTTCTTATGTTTAATATCAACATCGCCACGAGGGGTATCATCCGTAAAGAAGAATAGCAGGATGCCGACAAGCAACATCAGAAGTGCGGGCAAAAGAAGTGCCAGACGCCATCCAAGATTATCCGATACGGTGCCATTGATGGTAATGAGATTGAACATGGCTGGCATGATTAAGAAGGCAGCCCCGCCACCGAGATTACCCCAACCTCCACTTAGTGCGTTCGCTGTACCCACAATCTCTTTAGTAAACATGTTAGACGTCCATAACTGTGTACAAACAAATGCGCAGCCTATGAATCCGATGAAAAAGCGAGCAACGCATAGTCCTATAATATTGTTCACAGCCATCGCTCCCATGACTGTGACACATCCAGTGGTTAGCAGACCAAACTGGACCCGGCGGGGTCCGAACTTGTCGCAGATCGGCCCTATCAAAACTCTCGCGACCATGGTGCTGGAAACGGCCAAAATATTGGACGTGGTGATATCTTGAGAGCTGATATTCAGCTCTTTCTTGATAGTGGGGAACAACGGAGGAAGCGAGAACCACCCCAAGAATGCGCAAAAGAAAGAGAACCATGCAAAATGGAACGCTCTCATGTGGGGCCTCTTGGCTGTGTATAATACAATTTTCGTGGCACGGTCTTCTTGTTGTGGATCCACCGGCAGATGATAGTTTTTAGAAATTTTAACCATAGGAAGGGGCTCATTAAGATCTACGGGCATATTCGAGTACGTTGACGCCTCAACATCGACGGCAACTGGAATGTTGCTGGCATTCTCGCCCTTCTTTTTAGAGTCAGCTAGAGGGGTGGGAACGATGCCACCATCTTGGCTACCACTCTGTAAATCGATACAAGTTGCCGGATTTATGTCATCGGTATCTATTTTTTCAGCAGACGAGGCTTCATGTTTGGATTTCATGATGTTAAAAGTATCCTTAGCTATCGAGTAAGTGCTTGACAATTGACAACGGGTAACTTTCCAGCGTTCCACCGAATTGTGGCTATGTACAAAACAATGTGCTTGGTTTTATAATCGAGCTTACTAGTATACGTCAATATGCTATAGATGTATGAGTATATGGTGGTGGATAGAATTGGTCACAGCTGCTGTAATCAGTCCGAGTCCATGCTTTTGGGAGGCATTGTACATTTCGATCATAACAGCTCGGCTTTTCCTATTTTTTTAATGGGTACATATGAAAAATATTCCATGGGCCTCAAATATTCATCGACAATGCCATAAAAGGATTTAAATTATAAAAAATCCATTTGTCCTATTAACACAAATAAAACAATACCAGATGCAGTGAAATAGTTGTCATCGGATATAGTGATTACGGATAGCCAAACAGCTCGGGTACGAGCACGAAACGTACTAAATCGTTGCAAATAAAATCCCTTGTATGTTAAAACTTGCCGAGGCACGTGAAATTCAAAAATACATTGCGGTCGGATACTGGCATACTGGCTAACGAAGTTCAGACAGTGTCGTACTCTATGTCTCACACTGGATTTATGCGACCCAATTGTGCGCGAACTGCCCGGAACATGAATACTTCCAATATTCAAGACGCTGTCAGACTCGTGAAATGGTTGACCTTCAAAATCTTTTACAGAAAGCATCTGATATGGGGGTGGAATTATTATGAAAACGACGAAGACTTGCGGTTGGAACTACATACGCAGGTGATATTTAGTTTAGTATTTACATTGTTTTTGAGTTTTCCGCTCAGGCCTCAGACCTCAGTGCTCAACTGCTCACTTCTCTCCAGACTCCAGTTGTGTTGGACCGTTTTCGGGGTTCCTGTAAGAGTATAGGCTGCAATCATTACTTGATAGTCAAGTTTTTGCTTTTGCGCTTTTGCCTTTTGCATTTTTGCCTTCTTCTTGCAGTCCTGATTGCTGCATGCCAATCAGGGAGTAAATCACCTGATAATATTGATGGCAAATATCAATTGACAAGATGCGTGAAATACAGGCGGACACAAAGTATAAATTTGATTGAACTGTTTAAACATCAGATAGTGATATTGCGACATCTTAAGACTCAGTTACGCTCAGAGTAAATAAATAGCTCTGAATTTTTGCTGACAATTTTGAATAAATTTCTGTGAATAAATATTTATATATATATATAAAATAACAACGAATTTTGTATATGTTATTTCAAAAACAAAAACAGTAATAAAAGAAAAAGATGGGGTCAAATTTCAAATTTCAAATTATTCTGGCTGCTGTCAGCCGGTCAGCCTGTCACTGTCAGAGTGTCAGGCGTCAGTCGTAGAGTGGATTTAGACTGTAGAGTGTAGAGTGTAGAGTGTAGAGTTGTGGACTGTAGACACTAAAATTATTTAGCCGACAGGCGTTATTCTGATATTCTCGTCAGACTTCAGATACAATCCCCGCCAAAAATTCTAAGACAGAAACTCAAATATCATTTTAAAATATTTAGACCCCTGAAAAATCAAAAGAAACAGGGAGCTGTCTAAATATTTAGTAATAAATACTTATCTAGTGTCTGGTGTCTGATTTAAATTTTAGATTTATGTATTTACTAAATTTAGAAGGTATAAAATTACACAAGGCTATTAGGCTAAATATGTAAATATGAATTTGTACCAGACTGTCCTTACCTTATTTTTTTATTTAACAAAAACCAAAAACAAAATGTATGAAATTCTTTTTTTAATCACCCGATGTTTTTTTGTATAAAAAAGCCCCTTGAAAATGAAATATTGTAATACGTATTAAAATGATCCATTTATTTGAATACCGCTTGATAGTAAATAAACATAGCCTACTAGTACTAAATAAAACATAAAATTGAAACAGAAGGCTATTCCTAATCTAGAATAGAAAAAGAACGGTTCCTCCGCAAGCTCTGTTTTTTCGCGTATACTATATTTTAGTCTATTTTCGATTTTACACACAAAAGTAACTATAAAATATATCAAGTCCACTCATAAATAGCCTTCTAGAAGAAAAACAGTCTACTGTCCCTGTATTCTTAAAGGGCTATATCAACGCATTGATACATATCACCGAGTCACCGCCTCATCACACAGAAGGTTTGAACTCGTCACCCACCTGATCGGCTGGCCACCTCTCTCTGGGAGGTGGAGAGTGGACACTGTGGTATTTGAAATATACACCCGCTCTCTTCCAGAAGCGAGCGAGAGAGTGAAAGAGAACTAGAGTATTCAAAATTAAAATATTTACCAGGTTTACTCCAGCGAGATCTATTCTTCACGGTTCACATTCCGCGATTCCACTAATATCTCCCCGTTCGAGCTCTATAACATGCATCATATTTACAGTCTATCTCCAATATTGGGTTTGTATTCAGAAACATACTTTTCACTTTCCATCGATTACTGTAAAGAGGTGACGGTATACCTCGGGACTATAGTTACTACCAAAGTGACGATAGCGTATCTCAATGTAGGGCTTCTCGCTTTCGATTCGTAAACTGTCGGTCATCAATCGCAGCACACAAAGTTCTACAATATATTGAAACAAGTGCGCACAGAAGAATCGCATCAAAACTAGCTGACTGTGTATGATTTATCTTCTTTCACCGGCAGACTAATAGTAAACTAGACAGTTATCTCGTCAGACCGTAAGTGAACAAATACAAATGGCAAGAATGGAATCGATTTTGAGTCACTCGTGAAGTTGTCCAGCCAACCGTTCTGGTTAATTGTGGGACTCATCTTCTATAAATGATAGGTATATCGTCTACTGTGGAACGGCTACACCACATATACGTATTGATCAAGGTAGGTCGTTGACCTCGGCCTTGTCACCACTTTTGCTTGCCCATCAGTACATGAGAGACTACAACAGTTTTATTGATTGAAGCACTCTCATCTTTTAATCTTAAAAGCAGCCATTATATTCTTTATAAATTGCACAGTAGTCTCATATATATAATATATAATATATATATATATATATATGTATGTATATATATATATAATATATATATATATATGTATGCGTATATATATGTATATTATAGGTGTGCGCCTTACGAATTTGTACTAACAGTATATTGTCATTGTGTGTGACTGTATATATGTTAATTGAACTGTTGTTTAAAAGATACAAATGAGTATGCTAAGTGAAAAAGAGTTTTTCCATTTGGTTGCTTGGATTTGGTCCTCTTCAAGCTTCATCTATTTAAATTCTACAACAATCTTTATTCAAATATTTTTCTTTGCACAGAGTTCCAGTTCTAATTGACCAAATCCTGCTAATATTACAAATTCAAATCGTCATTAATCGGGAAAGAAGGGTTTTCACGGTGGGGACGCATCCGCCACAACCAGTCCCGGCTTTAGTACAAGCTTTAAGATCCTCGAGATCACATATATTTTCCTCAGTAATCGCTTCTACAATCTCACCTTTGGTTACGTTGTTACAGAAACACACAAGTGCATCGTCTGCAAGGGGCATATCCTCGCTATCGCCCTTTTTTCCTACGAGTACTTCACCAGGTGATATCTGTAAAAGGGATTTTGATTGAACCAACAAAAGAAGCTGCGAATAGTCGCTAGCATCGCCGACTAGTATGCCTCCAGTGAGGTGCTTACCGTCGCTAGTAAAGTATAGTTTTCTGTAAACACCCTCCATTGGATTCTTGTAAACCAATGGAACAACTCCCACGGCTTCAATATCGGGGCAGAAGTCTCCAAAAACAGCCACGTCAACCCCCAACAGTTTCAATCGTGTCGACATGTCACTGCCTGTAAATACTCGGTCGTCGCTGGGCTTATCCAAGAGTATTTCTGCGTTACGATGAATCATTCTCCAGGCTAAAACTTCAGCCATGTGATAACCTGGTGCCACCAGACCGTATAGTTTACCCATATGATTGACACATTCGCCTATCGCGTATACACCGGGCACATCCGTCGCCAAGTTATCATCTACGATGATACCGCCTCCCTTGTGTGCTTCCTCAATGGCAATCCCTGATTTCTGAGCCAAATCTGTACGAGGCCGCACGCCCGTGGCAAATACTACCATCTGCACATCGAGCACATCATCACCTTCTCCAAAGTCAAGTCCCGTGACCCTTTCATCTTTGTCACCCAGTATCTCCTTACATCGCTTGCCAGTAATACATCTCACACCTAGTGCTTCGACTTTCTTTTGCAGAATCTTCGCACCATCCTGATCTAATTGCCGGTTCATTAGCCGTGAGGACCTTTCAACCACATATACAGTCAGACCTTGATCCAGCAATGCCTTCGCAGCTTCTAGCCCCAACAGACCACCTCCAACTACCGCTGCTACCTGCACTGACCGGATCGATGTAGGTATTGGTGACGAACTACAACTTGTACCCGAATCGACTTCAGCCTCGTTCTCACATTTCATATTATCCTCCACGTACATCAGCATTTCGTCTAGATCTGTCAAGGTCCGATACACGAATACACCGCGTTGTTTATGTCCTGGTACAGGGGGTAGGAAAGCGTAGCTGCCTGTCGCCATGACGAGATAATCATAGGAAATGGGTGGGCAGTCTGCATTCTCCATAGTCACTTGCTTCTTCTCAATATCAATCATATCTACCCTTTGGTTTAGTTTCACCGTAACACCCTCATCTGTATACCAGCTCTCATCTGCTAGGTAAAGAACTCCTTCATCCCGATTATCGAAGTACTCTGTCAATCGCATACGGTTGTAGTGTCGCCTAGACTCCTCACCAACACAAATTATCTGATAGTTACCTTCAGGATCGTTCTTGCGCAACTTTTCGCAAAAGCGCTGCCCCACCATACCATTCCCCACAACTACTACCTGCCATCGCGCAACATCAAGCTTTACTGGCGTTCTGGCGCCGACTGTATCTTCGTATGGCAAATGTTGAATGGTTGCAATATCCATCGCCACCTTACCCACACAAAAAGTAAATAATTGTTGGTATGAGGATGCACTGGAGTGAATATCATGGAACTCGTCGGTGCAATCTTTACCTGCGTGTACCATTATTGCTGTCGCGCCACCAGGATGGTGATCCATAAATCGGGAACAGTCGTAAATAAATCCCTCTACGATAATCCAACAATCTTCCTTTCGATTGTGTTTTGCAACCTCCGCCATAGTATAGACACGATCAGCTGCCTTAGCAGTCAGGGGTTGCTTCAAAACTGGGTTGACCTCCTTCCGAGAAGGGAGTTTTGTAGAGTTTGTAGGATTCATCCACGGTAGATCAAATTTTGTGTCCATCCATCCACGAATGACTTGTTTGTCCGCCTCCGTGAATGTATGGTTTGTTGGGTGTTGAAACACATATTTCTCTTCGCTAAAATCGATTTTGCCGAAAACACGATGCCACGGATTATTCATCATCCCCATGAGGTTCCAAGTCATGTACTTCGGTTGTGTATTCATAGAATCATCCCACGCACGCACGCAGAACTGTACTTCAGTAGCTGATAGTCCTTTACTAATTAGCTCACTAATAAGCACTGGACAACTCCAGAATATCCAACACCATTGTTTCCCGTATTCTGTAGGCCCAGTCTTGTCTGAGTGATGGAGTTCAGCAAGCAGCCAAGTTTCCCCATGATCGATAGAGAGCTCGACGCGGATGAGTCGTTTGCCTCCTCCTGTATACGCGTAGCCTTGCACTAGATACGTTTCAGTCGAATCGGCATCCGGTACTGGCAGTTCCTCTGCGTGTGCAGGTTTTGTAATGACAGACTGGATGTTGAGGTGATTGATCACATACTCTGGCTTCTTCCACCAGCCACCTTGCTCTGCAATCTCTCGGCTTAAGACCTCAGTAGGTAGCACACGGTTGTCATTCACGTGCCAGTAATTGTCAGATTCGTATGACTTTATACGGATAGCACATAGCCATTTAACCATACGGCCGCCGATGTATCCTGGTAGAATAACTCGTAGAGGGTAGCCGTGGTCCGGAGGTAAGCGCTCATCATTCATTGCGTAAGCTACCATCATATCTTGAGTTCTGTCTAAGGCCGCCATCAGAGGTACACTTGTGCCGTAAATACCTTTATTGCCGATTTTTTCGACACCCTCAAACCAGACGTAATGTTTCCGCATATCACTTGAAGACATCTTTGACTTGTTTTGATCCAATGAATATCCACTCAACTCCAGAAGCGCCCATAGTGGAACACCCGTCCACATCGATGTACTACAGCCTGCAGAACCCCAATTGAACCCAATGGTGGCTCGTTTCATGTTCTGTTCTTTTCTACGGTTCCCTGCGCATACTAAAAGAACAGGAATAGATCGCTGTACCGGTAGATTTACGAGGTCATCCATTGAGTATTTTACGGATTCATTATAGCTCCCAGGCGCAGAATAAGACGCGTCGAGCTCTTCGTAGACCGTAAGCGTGTGCGATTCCCAAGTAATCTTTGGTACATTACCATGATTTCGCACGTAGTGCAAGCCACAGGAAGTAATTTCTCCGTCGGCCATTAACAACTGCAAAGGAGCTTCACAATTGAATGGCGTGACACCAGTTAGCTTGACGAGCTCTGGCCTTCTTTCAACCCATGCATCAGGATTGGAAATATCCAGGGAGGGTTTTGCATCTCTGCCAAAACCGATCTCAGATTGCAACACCATACTGAAACAAAATGATGAATAGCAAATGGTGTCTCAATAATCTTGTCACGCGACCTTATAGCGATAGGTTTGTAAGTCAAAGTTCAAATATATTTATTTGCTTATATAAATAGTTTACCATTTTGTCATAGAATAGATTGTCACTCTGGCCGCATATTGATATAATCATTTAAGACATATTAAATACAATGCTCGAAGAAATCTGAAATGGAAATCCTCAATAAATATAACATCTGATCAAGTTGAAGAATTCACACGACTTTCATAGCCTTCTGAATTAAACAAGGCTATGTGACTTTCCTGTTTCCTCTGAATGGGACCTGTCGATCAGGCTGAATCAGTGAATCAGCAAGTGGCTAAAAAAGTATTTAAAAAAACCCATGTTTTTGATTTTGTCTTGATCTTCCACGTCATTACTCGGTACAGCACTGGAATGTTCAATTTTCATATCAGTAGGATGATGGATTCGCCATAACGGACAGACGCAGTCATACGGGGTCTGAAATTGAAGTACTCGTAGTTCACAGCAAATTGAAACTCGTCATAGTCAGCAGACAGACGAGGAAATACTCTGCATTCGTAATTTAGAGACGATGCCTTACTTTTTTGGTTTGCTATGTATACAGTTTCTGCTTTCAACACCAAAAAAAAATTATTTGTTTAATGTCTTTATTACTCTTTTAGAAGGCTATGTAGATTGTAGAAGGCTATGAATATTCGTGTTGAAAAATAAAAATTAATACGGAAATATATCACAAGTACCGAGAAATCCTACGAATCGTAGGATTTTCAAAAATTTGGCCAAAATATTTTTTAAAGAAATAGTGAGATTCCCGTCAGTGATGGGAATCTCACTATTATAAAATAAATAAATTTAGTCCATGTCTTGGGCTATTGGCTGTCAGGGCCAAGGACTCTTCCGAGTCAATTTACTCTCAAGCGGAGACTCATATTTATATATTTTAAAATAAATACTATGTATGGTAGAATCGCGTATAGTTCACCCTCTAAAAGTATTTTTCAAATTATCATTTCTTATGCGAAATAATTGGAATAACAAAAGATTTGTCCAGCGGGATCGGCAGTGAGCTAAAGAAGCCGTAGCCATCAAAAAAAAAATCGGCCAATTTTTTTGTGATGGGTGTCTTAAATGCTATGACCAAAGTTCAGAACTTGGCGGCCAAAATCCAGAACTTGGCAGCCAAAATTGAAAACTGGGCGGCCAATGTTGCAGTGTCAGCTCGGCCACATGTCTATGAAACAGGTGTATGGTGCTCTTTAGAAAATAATATTACACTTGAAAAACAAAAACACAAGCAGTTGTTTAAAAGATGGATGATACAAACTGATGTTTGACGTGAATCGGCTATGCGCGTCACGCAGAGCATACCTAGACCCACGTCCACCAGTCAAGTGTTTGGATCGCTCCCGCTGATTCAATATGTTGTGTCTTAATGGATATACTTGCCGTACTTATGTGTGTAACTTTGTGTACTGTGGTCCATAGTGGCTCAGGTGTGAAAAATTGTGATCAAAAACGGTCTTTTCTATATGAAATTTTCAACTTCTGATGGTTCTGACACTTCGAACGATCTTGTAAACGATGCGGCATGTCGATTTATGCCCTCAAAAGTCTATATTTCGGACTGGAAGGGTCATCTGGTATAAGCGGCCAAATTTTTACTTGTCCTAATTATTCTAAGCAATTCCGCTATCTAACGTTCAAATCGGATCACTGGTTCGTGTTCCATGCTCACCCAAAGTCGGGGTCATATAGGGGGTGATCTATACGCGATTGCACCATACCACCCCGACACCCCCTTCATATTACTCGCAGATGCCGCAGAGGCTGCATCCGCGTGGTAGCTAACAGCCTCACACACAGCACAGTGTACACTGACTGACACTTGCGAATTCAGAATTGGTGAGATTCCGGATTCGTCATTTATGGCCCACGCTCTCTCTTGTCAGTTGTCAGACAAAATTGGATGGATTGTCTTATTTATTTTTCCAAAGCAAAATTGTGTGATGAAAATACTGATAACTGACCTGTGGCTCAAATTTCACACACTTCACGACTACGTCACCAGATATTCATATTTAGACAATCCCCCCCAACCCCCACCCCATGAGCCCAAAGCCCTAATAACCAAAAAATAACCCCCAAGAATCTCTGCCTGTCTCTCTAAAAAAATGAGAGCGGGCCTACCGGCTACAGCCCTACATAAATACATACAGACAAACAGGCAGAGCTGCGGCAAACAGCTTTTAATAAATGGCCGCCGCTGCCCGGCGTCAGGCGTGCCCGCCCGCCTGTATAGTGTATACGGATCAGATCGTGAGATCACAATAAAGAATCACATCGATACACTTTGGTATTTATTTTGAATCTGATATCAATCCAAATTTGGGACATACGACATATTTATTTTGATCACCCCTATTTTTACTCATATTCTTTGACCCCCTTTTCTTTTAAAAAAATCGAGGCTAGTCAGGCTATGCATCCCCTTTCTGAATTCGTGGATCAAGAACTCCGTATTCTCTATATTTTTGAGTATGCACCATTCGTTTGATTTTTATATAAGCGTTGAGACGTACAGGTGTTTCAAACACATATGGTTTGCAGTTACAAAGCTACCTCTTCCATATAGTTCTGCTAAAGGTCAGTAACATCGTATGCACACGAAAATGACTGTGGCTATGAGAAAGCACGTGGTGGTGATCGGCAACGGGATGGTGGGGCAGCGTTTCTGCGAGAAACTCCGCAAGTACGACACGGACAAAAAATTTAAGATCACTTGCGTCGGTGAGGAATCGAGAAGGCACTATAACCGCATGCTCCTAACCGAGTATTTTGAACACAAAACAGCCGAGAACCTATATCTCGCCGCTGATGACTGGTACGCTACCAACGAGGTGGATGTGATGGTGGACGTGCAAGTTGAGTCTATTGACCACGCAAAGAAGGAACTTATCACAAAGGACAGTAAAGTTCCTAACATTAAATATGACTATGTTGTTTTAGCCACTGGTAGCTTTGCGTTCTTACCTCCTGTTCCCGGGCATGACTACGAAGGCGTGTACGTATATCGTACCTTGACAGATTTGGATAACATGCTGTCATATATTCATGATACACCGCCTACAGATGTACCTCGCCCAAAACCAAAGGCCGCGGCTGTGTTCGGCGGTGGGTTATTAGGTCTCGAGGCAGCCAAAGCTTTACGCGATGAAGGCCTGGAAGTATGCATCTTGGAGATAAACCCATGGCTGATGCGTCGACAGCTCGATGAACCTGGGGCTACTCTGCTGAAGAATAAGGTCGAAGAATTGGGTATACGCGTTCATGTGAATGCAAAGTGTGGTATTATGGGCGATAATGGCCGCGTAACTGGTATCCGGTTCGAAGACGGAACCGTAAAGGGGATTGAGGTCGTTGTCTTTGCCTGTGGCATCCGACCGCGCGATGAGGTGGCAAAGGCTTCTGGTGTAAATGTGCATGAACGAGGTGGCATTTTGGTCGACGATAACCTCGCAACGAACGTGGAGGATGTCTACGGCATTGGAGAGTGCGTTATCCACCAGGGGCGTGTGTACGGGCTTGTTAACCCGGGATATGCTATGGCCGATGTGCTTGCGCATCGTTTGACTGATAGTTCTGATGTACGCATATTCGAGAGTGGTGATATGTCGACAAAGCTGAAGTTAATGGGAGTGGACGTGGCCTCCTTCGGAAATTACATGCCTCCCAAGGACTCCAAGGAATTCATGCCTCTCGTATATGACAATCCCGCTGAAGGAGTGTATAGGAAATTGATTTTCACGGCCGATGCGAAACATATTGTGGGCGGTATGATGGTGGGGGATGCCTCGGATTACTCCAAACTGCTTTTGACCTCCCAGTCTGCCAAGCCATTGAAGGACTCGCCCAGTGTATACCTGCTGGGAAAAGCAGCCAGTAGTGGAGCAGGCACGGTGACAGAAGACGATCTTCCAGATGATGCACAGGTGTGCTCGTGCAATGATGTAACAAAAGGAGACATCAAAAAGGCTATACATGAGCAAGGCTTGACGTGTCTGAAGGATGTGAAAACATGCTCAAGTGCGGGAACGGGCTGTGGTGGATGTGTGCCCATGGTGAAAGATATACTGGACTTTGAGATGAAGAAAATGGGCGCCACAGTCGACAATTCTCTGTGTGAGCATTTTGCGTATACGCGAAAGGAGATGTTCGATATGATACGTATCAAGGAGTACTGCACTTTTACTGCTGTCCTTAAGGACCATGGCACCGGCTTCGGATGCGAGATCTGTAAACCAACTGTAGCATCCATCCTTGCCTCGCTCTACAACTCGCACATCCTTGACGGAGAACTGTTTACACTGCAAGATTCCAACGATCGTTTCCTGGCCAACTTGCAGAAGAACGGCACGTACTCTGTAATCCCCCGCATTCCAGGGGGAGAAATCACTCCGGAGAAGCTCGTAGTGATCGGTGATGTCGGCAAGAAGTACGGTCTATACACCAAGCTCACCGGTGGACAGCGAATCGATCTGCTGGGCGCTATGGCCTGGCAGCTACCGCACATATGGAAGGATCTGGTTGATGCTGGGTTTGAATCCGGGCATGCGTATGGAAAGGCGTTGCGCACAGTGAAAAGTTGTGTTGGTAGCGCCTGGTGCAGATACGGCCGAGGAGATGCAGTGGGCCTGGCAATCATGCTGGAAGAAAGGTACCGCGGCATACGGTCACCTCACAAGCTCAAGGGCGGTGTGTCGGGATGTGTGCGCGAGTGTGCGGAGGCACAGAGCAAGGACTTTGGGCTGATCGCTACCGAGACGGGGTATAACTTATATGTAGGAGGCAACGGTGGTACTACACCCAGGCATGCGCAGCTGTTTGCCTCAGATATCAGTGAGGAGCTCGTGATCAAGTACATCGATCGATATCTGATGTACTACATCCACACGGCCGATCGCCTGGAGCGCACTGCGAAGTGGCTGACGAAGTTGGAGGGAGGAGTTGAGCAGCTTAAGCGTGTTGTCATCGATGATGCCTTAGGCCTGGCCGAGACACTGGACGCCCACATGGCTCTGTTGATTGACACGTATGTATGTGAGTGGAAGAAGGTGGTCGATAACCCCGAGAGATGGGCCTACTTCGACCAGTTCCGCAACACCACTGCCAAGCAGGATATGATCACACTGGAGTCTACCAGAGATCAGATCCGACCGGTGATGTTGCCTACGCCTCCCTCGAGCCCGAGTGGCGCTGAGCGAGCACTGCTGGAATATGAGAAGACGAAGATGGAGTGGATTCCCGTTGGAGAAGCCAAGCAATACGCACCGAATAGCGGGGGGTCGATCTTGTATGGTGCGACTCAACTGGCTGTGTTCCACACGGCGCGCAACTGGAATGGTATAGAGCAGGTGGCCTGGTATGCGACCCAGAATATGTGCCCGCATACAAATGCGTTTGTTCTATCCAGCGGAATGGTGGGGGATAGCAACAGCAAGATGAAGGTGGCATGTCCTCTGCACAAGAATACATTCGATCTGGAGACAGGGCAGTGTCTGACGATGGACCAGTACAAACTCTACCAGTTCGATATGAAGGAGGTGGATGGCGAGTTGTATGCGTTGTTGCCTCCTACAGCTGTGGTTGATGCAGTGCTCGCTACGCAAAAGTTTTTGTCTGTGGATGCTGAGATGGAGTTGAGTAAGTGTGCCAAGTTGGACTGGTAAGTGTCTGAGACGGCATCCTTCCCAAGAGGCTGGGAATGCGTATTTAAAAGTACAACCGGAAATTGGGAAGGTCAGAATGTGTTTCGAAAACTAAGAACGAACCGGCAGGATTGGGAATAGGGGATTGGATTGATATATCTTCATCATGTAAACAAATAATGGAGATCTACGAACGTATAGAAATTGTATAGAACAATTTCAAATAAAAGCAAGAAATTATTACTAGTGCAAGTACTTTTACATCGTGTGTTATCCGATACCCATATATATGCCAAGCATTTTCATGCATGGCATAAGATATAATCAGTAAAGTAATACGCTGTACCATTGTCTGCTCCAATGTCATATAAATACTTTAAAATAGGTATGTTAACCATAACTACAACAAGCGTCATCCTACTACGTATATGATACTACTATCATTCCTCTATATATATATATATATTATATATTTTTTATTTATACTATATATGTATATGTATATATATATATATATATATAATATGTATATACTATATATATATATGTATATATATATATTGTGTATATATATATAAAACTCTGACCACTTGAAAGACGTAGACGTATGCTCGAGTGTAGTACGATTCTGCTAGGCCTCCTACAGATAAACACTCGATGCCTGTGCTCCACTTTCAGTTTCAAACTTTCTTACTATGCTGTGGCATTCGTTCGGATATTTGCGTGAAGGCTACTATGACATTGCACGGCCTGTACGCAACCAGCAAGTGAGATTTAAACAAAGCCGCGCGGATGAGTCATACTAAACCCACTTGTAGTAGCAGGATCCAAATCAGATAAGGCCTTTGTAAACGCACCACAAACTACACTTCACATACCGTGTGTTGTAAATCTACACCTAGTTCGAGCAAAACTTATGAGATATGGTGGTACGTTTGCTTATAATTTAATAGGAAGGTCTGCCGGAGGTCAGACTACTAGTCCAGGCATGGTTCCATCTTCATCTTGCCCTTCCCCTTTGCATCACTGCTGACAACATCACCACCTGTCACGGCAACGTCTGCATTTCCAGCACCGTCCTTAGACTCATTATTATTAGTTGTGTGTGTCACATCCTCTGATTCCTGCCCTACGGATTGGCTTTCCATTGCAGAGGTCGCTTCTGTCCTTCCATTGCGTTTGATATACTCCAGTAAGGCCTCGTAGCAGTACTCGTACTGCTTTGACCGTTGTACCATACCTGTAGCAATGCAAGCACGCGTGTCCGTATATAAATAAGCGACATTTGCCTGCGAAATAGTGCCACTCGGTTCTCAGGTCTGAGTCACACTCAGCAATTGAATGAATATGTAATCTTGAAATTCTCATACCATGCTGTTTTGATATAACAACCCCCCATAGTTATTGCCTTCGGGTACCTTAGAATGCAGTTGAGTCAGCGTACTCGTTCAACGCGGTGGCTGGTAGGTACAGGCGGGATTAATGCTACACCAACACATACTCGACAGCATGTGTCACATCTCTCTCTCACATTTCACGTGTTACTTGACAACAAGTCTCACATCTCTCACATACATTTCACGTGTTACTTGACAACACGTTTTCACATCTCTCACACACATTTCACGTGTTACTTGACAACACGTCTCACATACTCTCTCACAAATTTCACGTGTACACATTCATCGCCCACATGTATCCTTGTGCTGGCAATGCCTCTCCCGCAGACGATCTCCTGACTACAGCTCACAGATACATACATCCTGATAACACACACCCCCCTCACAGATACATACATCCTCATCACACACACACACCTCACAGATTCATACATTCTGATCACACACACACACCTCACAGATACATACATCCTCATCACACACACACACCTCACAGATACATACATCCTCATCACACACACACACCTCACAGATACATACATCCTCATCACACACACACACCTCACAGATACATACATCCTCATCACACACACACACTCGCAGATACATACATCCTCATCACACACACACACTCACAGATACATACATCCTGATCACACACTCTCTTCACACACGCAAATCCTCGCGCGTATACGCATCACACATAGGTCCTCGTGGACACACCCACTCACCCGCTCGATGCTTGCGCAAGTCCAAGACAATGTTGTAGATGTCGGCCATACCGTCGTTTTCCATCTGCTTGATGGCTATGTCCAGACATATCATCACACCCGAACGCCCCACTCCCGCACTGCAGTGCACTACCACAGGCGCCGATTCGGTCGGCTCTACAGATGTGCATGTATCAATTGGAATGGTCGATAGAAGGACGTACAGATGTTAGGAAACGCTTATCTACACCACGTTTGCATGCGGAGATACGTGCATACATACATGCATACACGGGCACTTAGGTACATGGGTGCATTGGTAAATGGTTACAAGGCTACATAGGTACTTAGGTACTTAAGTACATGGGTACATGCGTGCTTTTGGGCCCATCCGTGGGAGTACTTCATACTATATTGCAAGTCTCCGTCCCTGTGTTATACGCTGCGCATGTGTAACCTTTGAAGTACTAGCGAGGAATATTCATATGCCGATTTCAGCGCACCAGCTTGTATTGCCAGCTCATACCTACCAAGTCATTCTGAGAATATGTATACGTGATTAAGAGCCCCCTATTTGTCTTACATGCCTTTACAGACTCAGGCTCATCAGCGTACATACGCCAAGAATTAGACCTTCAAACGACCGTACCTTCAGTAGCCCTAAGGTTGTTCATATCCTTCAACACCGTGTAGATGGTGTCTTCCGTTCCGGGAATGCCGTGATCAGGCCACGATTCGTAATGCAGATGCCACACAGTACGTGTAACTCCATCCCGCTGCCATATGAGCACATTGAATAAGATTATGTCATATGAAGCACATTGAATAAGATTATATGACATATGAAGCACATTGAATAAGATTATATGACATGTGAAGCACATTGAATAAGTATATATGACATATGAAGCACATTGAATAAGATTATATGACAAAGCACATTGAATGGGATTATGTCATATGAAGCATATTGAATAAGATTATATGACAAAGCACATTGAATGGGATTATGTCATATGAAGCACATTGAATAAGATTATATGACACATGAAGCACATTGAATAAGATTATATGACATATGAAGCACATTGAATAAGATTATATGACAAAGCACATTGAATGGGATTATGTCATATGAAGCATATTGAATAAGATTATATGACATATGAAGCACATTGAATAAATTATATGTCATATGAAGCAGATTGAATAAGATTATATGACATATGAAGCACATTGAATACGATCATATGTCATATAAAGCAGATTGAATAAGATTATATGTCACATGAAGCACATTGAATAAGATTTTATGACATATGAAGCAGATTGAATAATATTATATGTCATATAAAGCACATTGAATAAGATTATTTGTCATATGAAGCACATTAAATAATATTATGTGTCATATAAAGCACATTGAATAATACCATGTCATATGAAGCACAATGAATAAGATTTTATGAATTGCTGTGTTAATCCAATCGATGAAGGAATTTAAGTGTTTAGACCTATCCTGTAGTAATTTCCAAATTAGTTGGTCTCACAACTAGGGTTTTAGATCAGGCCAGCAGTTTCATTCATCCAGGTGGTGTTATTCTTAGTCTGATGTTAATCGAATTTGAGCATCGTATGTTTTATTTTGCGAACATGTAAGTGTACATATATACTGTATTTTCTAGATCTGACTTTGATACAAGGAATAGGTGCTTGGAGATGTAATGAAGATCCATATAGTCATGTCAAAAGTCTGGTGAGAGCAATAAAACAAAAAAACCCCTATTCAGGTGGTCATACGGAAACTGCATAGCCGTACAACGCAAACACAAACGTCACAAAGAACGTATATATTCATATGCATGCAGACGACAGGGGATCGCATGGAGCTACGAACATACACAACACACACGCGGGATGGATCGGGCCTGACACACTTAGAACCGAGCAATACCTGATCGACTACTTCTAACAATCGCCTTGTGTAGGATTCGTCCTGAATATCGTCGTCCCGTACGTATGTTCTGCCGATAGTATGCCAATTGTTTGTTAAACACGGCATATTGGGTTAGAATTCAGGATTTGGAGATTTGGTTTAGGGTTTTTCGAGCACTGTGTGAACTGCATATGTGTTGCATCGATACAGGCAAAGAACCACCACAAGGGCAACTCTCTTCAGTATTTAATGTTACAGCGAGCAAGTGTGGAATAGCCATGACTGGGACAACAAGCGGTGGGAGGCCCGGAGGCGGGGGTAGAAGCACTCGGAAGGCATAGGCGTAGGCCTTAACAGACGCTCCGAGCACACTGCCCTTAGGTCGTCCTCTAAGCGCAACAACGCTACCTACACGATGGTACTCGCGACGTACTGTATATGTTGGGTTGCCGGCGCCACACACCAACCATCGAGTACTCCACCGTGCACCACATAGGAGAAGCAGCCGGTAGGGATATGCGGCGCATTGAGTCATTGGAATCAGACACTCGCACATGACAGAGATTGCTGAAAACACGCCACACACACACACATACGACAGAGATGACTGAAAACTCGCCAGACACGCACACACGGCAGAGATGGCTGAAAATCCGTGCGGTACCGAGCACGGCCTTTGATTGGAACCATACCCATGACTCCGAAAAGACATTAAACAGAAAATATAGTACAGAGAAGTAGTACGCAGCAAACCCGCGCAGGTGCTCAGACATTGCCATGTTGGTCAAAGACGACCACGAGGATTATTCAATGCCATACATTTTGAAGTCGCCGTGCTCTATTTCTTCGCCTTGACTCAGAGGCCAATATCTGGTGCACTTTTCTGAGGTGCCTTCCATGAGTTGCGCCACCTGTGTGATGGGTTGTGGTGACGAATACGATGCATTTACGTGTGTTCGCAGGTCATCGAGTAGAGGGAAATACATGTGTGAATGATACAAGAAAATACGTATATAGATAGTTTGTACAAGCATTTATCAATGAACAAGTGAAACTACTTCTACTTATATGTAGTCGAATTACCAGACACGACATACCATTACAATCACTTTTACGTTTTCCTGCCAGACCATAGACCAAAAGTCGACGAGGCAAGCTTCGGTGGGTGCCTGTGCAGCAATATAGGCCTTCTTCTGCTTATAGCCATGTATATAATTAGCATTTATGTAATCTTCATTTTCTTCTCTATCCCTGTCGACCGTAAAGGATAGAAATTCAGTCAAGTTGCTGAAATTACACGTGGTATGAAATACAACTGTCGATGTCCAAT